TATCTTTTGCTTAAAAAACGGCTATGCACGCATAAAAACAAAAAATTAAGTTCAAATTCGAAATCACCATGTTAAAAAACCTACACACGGTTATTTTCAGCTCAAAATAAGCAAACGAAGAAAAGCAGAAAAAGTAAGTAAAAGTGAGGTTTGAGTCTTCGTCTTTCTGCGCCGAAGTTTCATACACTACCGCTTGGCTGAGTCAGTCGTCTCACTAGGTCATCTCTGTAATTCAGAAGGTCACTGACCTACTTTATTTTTTACAGTGTGTACTCTCAGCTCCTCATCGAGATTCTGTTTGGACTGGAAAGCACTCCTGCATCTAAACAAGAGATGATCGATGAATGCCGAAGCCAGTATGAAGATAATGAAGAAGAACTGACGATTATTGCTGAGTTCGACAAGAACTATCAAAAGCATCAGGCTATTTGGTGGTACACGTGCTTTTTGTACCGAATGTTGAATAAAGCACTGCGCGTACAAGACACTGACATTCTCTTCAAGTTTCGCTTCTTCGTTAAAGATCTCCACGACCAACTTATCACACTGCACTCAGGTTCCAATGATGGAAAATCAATGCCACTGTTTATCGTGGACAAGGCATGGTGCTTGAAGAGTTTCTGAACATGAAAGACAATAGGTGAGTTTTTATCAATGAATAGTTTCTTGTCAACAAGTAAGAAAGATGGATAGAGAAGAGGATGAAGAGTTGAAGAAACTCACTGAACAGTTAAGGAACGAGATCACAGGCGGCAGCAACTTGAACAGTCTAGGTCTGATGTTGTAACAGATGGGTGAATACTGGAACTTTAGTTGAAAACACTGAGACCGAACCATCCATCTGTGGCTACGACATACAACAATCTTGGAAATATTTACAGTGCATATGGAGTCGATTGGCTGGAGTTTTTTTTTGCAGATGAGTTGAAGAAAAATCTTTTTTGCAACTTACTTATAAGCACAAGGACATGACTAATTTGAAAATATCTCTGCTCAGGTCTTTTCCGTTACCGAGATAAGAGACATTATTTCCTAGAAACTGACTCTTATTTATTGCTCCGAAGGCAAGGTTTTTTGGTGAAATTGATTACTTAGGCAGCTGTAAGTTTGTACTTAAATTATCTGGCAGTTATAATTTTATAGAAACGTCTTCCATGGGTGGGGAGAGCGCGCAAATTTTCCAAATTTTGGACTTTTTCCAGTTTTAACCATGTCGGACTTCCGATTTTTTTCAGGATTTCTACCAATGAGAAGTAAGCTCGCACCTAGCAACATGTCTCTATACTGTACTCGAGCTACTTATGGTTACTTTTTTCATAAAAGTATGATTATAAGTAGCCGGCAGAAAAGGTAGTTATTTTACAGCTAATGTCTCCTATCTCGGTAACGGAAAAGACCTGAGCAGAGATATTTTCGAATTAGGCATGTCCTTATGCTTACCCAGGACGTCGAAAACGGTGTAATTAATTACCAATTAAATGCCATTTAATACGCTATTAATATGCATTTAAATGGAATTTTTATGTCATTGGCCGTATGTTTTTAGGCCGTTTTTTGCCATTATAACTGGGAACGTTTAAATGCATTTATTTCGCATTTGTTTAAATGTGAAAAAACGGTCAAATAACACCCGTTTAACTGCTGCCAGTAACCCTGCTGATCCCATTCTTTTGCCATTTAAATATCAAATTTTAGACTGTTAGAAAATGTCAAAAAAATATCCTCTAAAGCCTGAGGTACTATCACCGGCATCGATCCAAGAACCACAGACCACATCTTCGGGACAAGTTTCTATAACTCGTATAATTGAAGAGAAAAACTCTAAATTATAATATATATTATATAAAATCAGAGCCATTTATACTAGTCATGACGGCAGAATAAAACGGTGAATGACTTGGTGACCATAAAATGGCTGTTAAATGCTATTATGATCATTTTTTGCCATTTTGAAATCGAGAAAAACTGCCTCAAAACGGACATGTAACAGGCATATTTATTTGGCACTAGTTAACGCGGTCTAATAAATGGACGAAAATGCCATTTAATGGTGTCCGTAAAATGCCATTTTTTCCGGACACCGTTAAATTTTTTCTCTTAGAATTAAATCGATTAATCACGGTATCTGTTATAGCATAGTTATTATGTACTCTAGATGTACTGCTAGAAATTTCTTTTAATACAATCGGCTAAAATGAGTAGAAAGTCTGATGAACAAAGCGTCACAAATTCAACAATCGTTGAAACTTATCGGGTTGATAAAAAATCTGTAAAGGGAGCAAAAGCATCGTCACATTTATCAAAAGAAGGTATGTCATTGAAAACCTATTTGAAACAAGCAAAAAGTATTGAGAATGTTTTACGAGCGATCAAATCCAAATTATATGCTCGAACACAAGTGACCTGTGCACACCTCTGGTGCCAATAGGACCGTTGCTATGGGTCATCAGAAGCAGGGAAGAATCGCATAGATTGTGTGGATATCAGAGAAAAGTTAGACTCAAAGTATAAAATTTATGGCGCCGGCATATTTATCTAATCTCATGGACAAAATTCGATTTTCTGCTTATTCTATCCACCATAGAGAAAGGAGATAGTGTTCTAACGTACAACAGAATTGTTCGATCGATTTGATGCAGATTTATTATTTAAACATACCGGTTTTGATGTAATTGTAAAAGAATATAAGTATGAATTGCAACTGAATGCTGTACAGGATATCAGGCGTTGTCTTTTAATATATTCAACGGTTCCAAATGATAATATAACATTTTTGAAAGAGTATTTAACTGTGGAATCATGGATGTCATTTCTTAACAAATAGTTAGGGTAAAACTCATTTCCACAAACATTACAACAGATTTTCATCAATGTATATTTTAAAGCCCCATTACTAGAATGTATTGTATTTCTAAAAGCTGGTTTTGGTAATGCTACGTTATAACAAGTAGTTCTTGTTCGTAGTAATGCGCCTGCCCTATATGTTTTTGATACCTGGTTGAGTTGCGAAATGTTGTTCGGATAAACGTAGAATGCCGACGTCGTTGTTAATTATATTATCTACATATTTAGGTAATATATAATACCATTTTAAAGAATATTGGCAATATTGAAATTTGATACGTCTAAGTCTGTCATTAAACTAAATATTTCTTCAATATGTGTCTCTCTCTTTGAATCATAAACAGAAGCTATATTGTCAAGTTATTTAGACAGAACGACATACTCTCCTTTTGAAACGGGGACACAATATTTGATATTGCGGACGGAATAAAGGTTTCAGATTTTTGGTGCTTTAGTAAATCATTCATATTTGTTTGAGGAAAAAAATAATCATTCTATATAAAAAAGATAAAATCTATGACTTATGCACCATCTTTTTCTTTCGGGTTTAACAGCACAGGAAAGAAGGAAAAAAACAACCGACAGCAGAATTGTACAATTTACATATTGTCAGCTAAACTTTTAACATAAGAACAACAGAGACATTATCTGATAGACTATTATATAATATTACATAATAGTCCATCTAGATCTATAAAACTCTACATAAATCAACTTTCTTATCGATCTCACGTCGTGAACCATTATAAAAAGTCGAGTCGAGTGTGCGTAACGTATCATAGATATTATCGTTGTTCATTGGTGATTCTTGTGTCTTGTCATATAGAAATAGCGTATAGGCGTACCTCAACAATATTTAAATTACGACACTGCATTATGGTCACGAATTATTCTTTATTCTCGTGGTGTGATTTTAGTTTTCCAGCATGACTCTTACCCTTTTCTTTTTTCATAATTAAAATTGTCAGTTAAGTTAAGATCAGGTTTAGATTTGTCCACTGGACGGTGATGAAATTATTAAGATGTGACATAACTTTGAAAATTTTTATGAGGACCAATAGGAGTTATACAGTATGTGTATGGCGAAAAACAAAGATATGAATGGCATTTGTCAAAGGATTCTCTCCCGATTCTCGTAACTATAAGAAAGACAGTAATTGCGATGTGATTTTATAAAGCTTTTTTTAACGCGAATTCCAATATTGAGTCCACTGACGACTTTTGGGCGATTGAGATGAGACGAATGATAAATCGTTTTTACTATATCAAGAGCGCAACTTAAGTTCCATCCCAAAAGATTCAACATTACTGTACTTCTCTACGTCTGTAATCGAGTTAGTTATTTCATTTTGGTTATTCTCGTCATTCTGATACAAAAATAATGTGTTTGCGTTCCTTCGGTCAGAAGAGCACGTTACTCTTAACTAATGAACTATCTATATTGTATCTCATAAACCATGCAAGAGGCTGAAATTTGTTGAATGATTAATGAATGCACTAAATTTCAAATTATCAACTCTCACGGTTCTAGAATTTTAGACGTAGCTTTATTTTTGACCAATACTGTTACATATATGTTAGCGTCCAAACTCGGATTCCGTCCAATCTAAGATTGGCCTAGGCCAAACTTAAATCCGAGGTTGGACTCGTCCAATCTTGAATTTTGATAGATAGTTCACAGAAACTGCACAGAAAACTGCAAATTTTAAGTAAGGTTTAGCAGGAATTTTCCTTAAAGTGTGTTCTAGATATCTGCTGGTTCGTGCTGATTTGGAAACAGTGCCTGGTGACTCACTATTACTACTGGTCTTTGTCCTCGTCTTCCTGAACTGAACCTGCGCACAATTTCGAACTTCCACATGTAAGAGAGCGAATATATCGATTAGTGAGTCGCCAAGCACTGTTTTCCAATCAGCACGAACCAGCGGATATCTAGAATACACTTTAAGGAAAATTTTAAAATTAATGCTAAACCTTACTTAAAATTTGCAGTTTTCTTTGTGGTACTATCAAAATTCAAGATTAGACGAGTCCAATCTCGGATTTAACTTTGGCCTAGGCCAATCCTAGATTGAACGGAATCCGGGTTTGAACGCTGACATATACACGTGAATCATAAAAGGTACACAAGTCCAAAACTCTTCTTGCGTCTGTTGTTATTGTGTGACAGTATTGGAGGAAGATGTTTGCGATGGAATCTCATCAATAGAGTGCCCGTTTCGCCTCAAAATTTCGACTGCTAATTGTAGACTCGTTTGTTTAACCAGTAAATAATCAGTGTCGTATGTTGAAATCGCAAAGATCGATACTTTTTCAACAGCCAACGGTTCCAGTAAAGAAGAAAGAACACCAGACATAGAGAACGCTAGTGGACCTTGAATTTTAAAACATTTCCATCCAGATTCTTGTTGAATACCATTTGGAACATTCTCTTGTTTAGTAACAATTGATAATTCATCAGCAGTTCGCGTAATTGAAACAAATGAACCAGTGTAAGCCCATTCTGGTACTATATCTGTTGTGGAGAGTCGACAGATCGAAAACTGATCAGGCAAAATCACTAATTTTAAACAAACATCTTGATTCATTTTATCTATAGTGATTCTGATATCTGGAACAAAATAAAGGGATGTAGTTTTAAATCATTGTTGTTTTCAACAGAAATGAGTCTATAAAGTGACAGAGCCACTCCTGTAGCGAACCAGGACCGACTGCAGTCGAACGCGCGATATACTGCTTTTCTGCTTGAAGAAACAGTTTGATCAAACTTAAATAGACATTTATTATATTAATGATAAAAAGGCAACCGAAAATATTACTCATAACCCCATACTAAAAAACCATCTAGTTTGATCACACTGTCCCGGAAAAGCACGGCAAAAGTGTGCTGACGGCATGGAACAAATGTGCCGATGGAACGGTTGAAAATTAATCGGCATGCTTCAACCATGCCATTGGTACACTTTGACCGTGCCTCCAATACATTTGTTCCATGCCGTCAGGAGAGGTGTGTGCTGTTGGAACGCTTTTAGTGTGCCGTTTGGTGGCACTCTTTATGTGTGACAAAAGCACGCTTTGCTCTCATAATTCTGAAAGTGTGCTAGAAGCACGTTTCAAATGTGATAATAGCACAGTTATGATGAGTCACAAGATGAGCCATCGGGTTTTTATCTGCATTTTCTCTTCATTCAATTGCATGAAGAGAAAATGAACGGAATGAATTGAATTTGAAATCTTACGAAGAAGTTAAAGAAGCTAAAGTGCATGTTACAACTAATCAGTTGATGCCAGTTGTACTGCTGTTTTTCTTCGTCTTTAAGATCGTGATGGATCAGTTAAACGACATGAAAGAAGTGTTTCTTTTTCACCAAATTGATGTTCTGTCGGCGGAATCCTACAGTAAATTGCTCACAGATAATGCTATAACATTAGTAACACTCCACACATTACCAGACGACAATTTTAAAGAATTACACATAAAAATCGGTCATCGAGAGGTCATTAAACGAATTGGTGCTGCTCATTTGGTAGGAGTGTCAAAGCGAAAAGAAGAGTAAGAATTTCATCGTACTTTCAACAGTCTCTAACAGTTCGCAAAAGTATCTTTTCTAAGAAATAGTATCTTGAAATGAATGATAATAGTGTTGGATGTTTGATTAGTAAAGTTACGCCTCATACATGCACAATGATAAAAATAAGCAATTTTCTCTTTATGTTTGTGTCTGAGCTGTAACTTTTAGTTTATTCTTTACCAGAGAGTTCGAAAAATGGAGTGCAGTCGTAAAAACAAGTGAGAGCGTTCTCACATTACCAAGTGAAATTGATGAAATTCAAGCAATGGAAGTAATGCGGACAAACGAAGAATCTGGTGACATAGAAAGTATGATAGTAAATGCCAATGGATACGACGCTGTGAAATTGAATGAGAAGAAAAGTGTTAGCCTAAAGGTATTTCATGTTGCTCCCACTTAATCATCGTGCAAAACTGTATTATTTGTTTTAGATTCATATTGAATATCCAACGGAAATACCAGTCTACACGGAAACAATGCGAGAAACGTTAAAAAAATTTTTGAATAAGGTATTCGTGACCGGTGTAAAATTCTGCGTCGAATGATGTATCTTTCAGCCAAAAATAAAATAGTGCTTTACCTTTGAATTTGGAGCGCTTTAACATAGATCATGACATCTTTAACGAATTTTCATATATTGAAAAATATGTAAATCAGAGATCAAAATTGCAGAACAGAACAGATTTCTGTAAAGCGTATTGACTCTTCTATTTATGAGGGCTATATGATATGTATCATAGATTTCATCTTTCTTTCATTTTTCTAGAATTCAATGAAGCTACCAAAGAAGCAGAAGAACTAAAAGCCGTCGTTGATCGGTAATAATATGCGAAAACATCGTATTGAACTTTAAACTAATGTTATATTTTATTTTTTCGTTCAGTATCAATAAAAAACTTAATGATCATGATAAAGAAGCATTAGAAAAACCATAAGCTGATCTCGATAAACTAACAAATGATGTGGAAAAATTACGAAATCAAATTGATACGGCAAAAGCTGAAATAACAAATGCTAAGCGGTAAGAAGAAAACTATATTGAATTAAACTATGTTTTGTATATGTGTGTTGTTAATTTCTTTTGCTCTCTAGAAATTTGCAGAAAGCCGAAGATAAGGTGAAAGCAAATGAAAATGCAATCAAAGACAATAAAGGAAAGCATACTCGATTAAATCTGAGAATTGAAGAGTTCGATCGATAAGTGTTAAACGCAGTTGAAAAACGTGCTAGTAGCGAACGAAGTAGAATCGAATAAAAATGTTGATCGTTTCTATGATTTTAAGAGTAATATATCTATCAACTTTATCAAATTAAGTAAACTTGATTCCACGGGCAACTAACTACTGGCGTTCGTCGTTATTTACAACTATATTCTATGTCTAATGCCAGTAACACGGTTTTAGTATACTGATGATACACTTTTAGTGTACTAACCATACAGTTTAAGTGTGCCAGTAACACGGTTTTAGTGTACTGATGATACGGTTTAAGTTTGCCATTGGTTCGAAGGTGTGCCTGTCTGGCTTTCTAATGAGAATTTTGAGCAGCGCGTACATAAGCGTGGTAATTCGTGGATTTTATCGTTCTGTCTTTTCCTATTGGTTGATACAAAGCGTATTTTCAATTTAGTTCGCGTACCGTACGCTTTGGAACAAAGGCGTACGCGTAATGTTAGGCTATGTTCATACTACGACTTAAGCAGCTTAATTTTTTCGCCTTAAGGATTCTGATTGGTGCCTTAACTTTTGGTGCCTGTAGAACACTTTTTGGTAAAATATGAAAGCCAATCACAAAAAAAAGTACACTTAAAGTATCTGTTTTTACCACCCAAACGTGCCAAAAGCACGGAAAAAGTGTGCTAGTTCTCCCGTATTGGAGATTGAAGTTTGGACTTCCAATGGCACGCTTTTTCTGTGCTATTAGCATACTTTTGCTGTGCTTTTCCGGGACAGTGCAGGTCATTCTGATTAGTTTTGGTTCTTTTTGTATTGGGTTGTCGTCGCCAGCCGTTAATTATATAAAAAAGGAAAAGCACGAATTTGATTGATCAATTGTTTGAAATCCAGTTCGTAGAAAAGTCGATCAATCAAAACAGAGTAACTGGTCTGTAATTGAAAAGTTAACTATATACGCCTGTCGCTTATCATCTTTTCTCATTGGTTTGTACCATTTCAGTGAGAAAATATTACGACACTCGTTCTTTTTCTTTTCTCTGAAGAATTTCTATTCCATATATGTTATCAGATGACCTTTTTTGTGTTATCAAAATGGACCGATTTCATGCGACCTCTATCTCCCGACTACAGAAATGTTTGCAAAGTTTTTCCTTCTCTCTGCATCAGTAATTATTTTTTCAGTCGTCTCTTTGAATATTTTTTCTGTTGTGTAAAAAAATAATTTTGAACCTTTTGTCTCTTGTGATTCGCTTATCCATAGAATATTTGCCAGCCATTTTTCCGGATTTTGCGCACAGACATAAGGACAACCATTTTGTAAGACCCTACACTAGACTAAAGTCAAGGGATCATGAGCACACTTGTGATATAAAGGAGGATTTTGTGCATAAGAAACGAAAGGAACTAAAATTACTCCGTATTTTGGCTCAGCTCACTCTCTAACTGAGCCCTCAGTGAACAAGAAAGCTTGTTTGCATCATGTTCCCGAGGGAAAAACCGGGTAAAACATGGTGAAAGTATTCTGAGAAAACGTTACGTCATCTTTGCAAGCATCGGAATCAGGTTGCCCAAATCCAATTTTCGAAATCAAGAGCTTTTCGTTAAAGGTCAGGAGTTAATCAGGAGATTTTTTCTAAAAAATCCGGAGAAAAATTCGGAGATTTTTTTCGAAATTGGAAGAAAAACATGATTATCAGACAGTTGTTTCTTGGACAAGCAAATAAAAAAATGCAATAATTTTTACAAAAAAAGTTTTTTTTTGAAATATTTTTTGATGGAAGAGTATTATCATTTCTTACAGACTGCAGTACGCATTGAGGAAGAAGATTTGATCCAATGAATTTGGAGATCCACTAATCTCATCTTCTTGTAATGAGAACATTTAGTAAGCATACGGTGGACTCTTTCAATGTACAATTATTTAGACTCTTGGTCCAGAAATTCTGTTTATGAAACTGATAATCTTAGTTTTGAAAACAAAATCGATGCAAAATAGCCGATATTGAGTCAAAATGCTAATAAAACGATACATTATCAAGTAACAATACAAAGGTTGTTTTTCGCGCTAGCCGTGAAAAATAACCGTCAAGTGTGGGCTAGCAGGAATTTTGAAAAAGGCTAGCCGTCAGATAAAAACTATGTAAAAACGACAAAATGGTTGCCGAAATATAAAGAGATTTTCAAAATAAAAGAGCAATGAAGCTGTTTCATTTTCCACCATAAAACTGTGGGAATTAAAAGGATTAGACTGATTTTGATCTAAAAACGATACTATAACAGACATACTTATCAAGCTTGTGATTGGCCCTTTCATGTTATATGTGATATTTTATGAATCATAACTGTTGATGATTTTTTTGGACCGCAAGATAGCAGAGAATTCTTTTTCCTGCTATCTGTATCATTTTAAAGATTCAATTCGTGGAACTGAGTAAAGAGTAGTGCAACTCAAAAACGTTTCTTAAGTGTAGAAAAACTCGAGAATTGTTTCGTCAGTCATTCTGACGAAAAGATCATCATTTGCATTAACAAGTTCGATTTCAGTGGGAAATTCTTGTCTTGGATCACGACGATATAAATAGCGTTTGCCCTTATCTTCAAAATTGGGTTGCGCATGACGAATGATATCTCGTTTAAGATTATAAACGTTGAAAATTGATATCGAATCACTATTAATCAATGGCCATTCACGGTTGTTGAACAAGATACGACTATTATCAGGCACATTACAAAATATTTCCGAAAATTCATCGTAAAACGGAAAAACGAGCATCAGAAAGAAGAAAACACAAGAAAAAAGTAGAGTGTGGTTGACTCGACCGATATCAAATGAAAAATGAAATTCATAGTCTATAGATACAGACGTCTGCCCCTTGGTTATGCCGCTGTGAACAGGCATCCATTCATATTTATGAGTCAGATCTATCTGCTGATGCGTACGTATTGTTCGAAGAAAAATAAACTACCTCTGAAAAAATCGACTCCGTTTAATTAAAAATAAGAATTATTTTTAGAAAGGACTAAGCTCTCTATGCCAATTAATCAATTAAGAAGAGAAAACAAAATACAAAAGCTTGATTTGTTTTGTGTGGTTTTATCAAGGATTAGTATAAATGTAACTGAACAATCTATGTAATGTAACAAAAAAATAGGTATATGATACAGAAAGTCAGCTTTAAGGCTATCCTTCTAAATCTTTAAAATATCTGAGTCCTTTTGCATTCAAAATTGAAACTACAAGTGTCTCGTCAAAATATCTTTACCATAATCGACGAAGAGAATTTTAAAGCATTAAATAATTAAAGCCAAATATTATGTGAGAAAGTGGCAATAAAGCGACAATAAAAAATGATCTAAACCTGATACAAAATTGTTCATCGTCTCTATATGTCGATTGTAAGCTTAAAACAAGAAAAATCCGCTAAAATTATTACATATATTTACTGAAATTTTCAAAGTAGAATAAACCAACCACCCTTGACTTCAACATGTGGAAAATATTTCATGAATACTAAAGCACTTGTAACCTGAGATAATCTTATGAATAAATTTATTTCTATCATACGTAAAAACAATTCATCAATAAGGTAATCAACAAAATACATACAGTGCTATCAATAGAATAAATTTGATAAAATATTGATAGGCAAACATAAAATTTTTACTACATTTTTGAAAATAATTTTCTTTTCTATTTTTAATTTAAGGGAGCTAAATCCACAGAAACGAAATAATATAAGCTACAAAGGTCAAAGGAATATAGAAACTGAATCATTTTCCATAATATCTATGTCCAACATAAACGTTCGTCATTCTATTGACCATAAACTACATCTAGGCGTTTCGCTGCTCATGAGTTCAAACATTGTATTGCATAATGTAGAACCTTTGCGAGGTAAAGTGCAGGAAAAAAATCGTTAGAAACGGCACGAAAAACGCGTTAGCGAACGATTGTTAAAAGATCCGTTTAAACGCGTTTTTTGTCGTTCAAAGCTTCAGAATAACTCGTTTGCTAACGATCGTTGGATAAACCGTTTTCTGGTGTTTTTGTTAAACGTTTATTTTATATAAAAACGCGTTAACAGTTTCAAAACCAGCGAGTTCTTTTAGTCGTTCTAACGCGTTTTCTTCAAAAAAGGTTCGTTAAAAAATGAGTTACAACGCGTTTTATGATCGTTAGTCGCAGCCAAAAAACCGTGTTTTCGTTCGTTCTGCAACGCGGTTTTGCGGTCAGCCGAGTATACAAGCACAGTCGAAATATCGAAGAAATATCATCTTCTTTTCGTTCTTTTTCAGTTTTAGATCATCATTGTGCTTCCTTTATTATAGACTTTCAAATATTTTTAGATGAAGTCCCACTGAGTAGCCTAGCCCTATCTTTGGCTTTACCAAAATGTTCTGTTCTCACGCGTTTTTATTCTGTTTTTAACGATCAAAAAACGCGTTACAGATCGCCTTCTAGAACGTTTGAAAACGCTTTTTTTGTACGTTTTTAACGCAAAAGTAACACGTTGCGAAATTCTGAAAAACGCCTTTTCGAACGAATAGATAAAAGAAAAACGCGTTTAAGCGACAAAAAAAAGCGTTGGGTTTGAAACCTTTAACGCGTGTTTTTGTCAATTTTTTTACGCCTGGGAGCATCTTGTCTACATAAACACATTTTCTCTCACTATATGTGTACCCAGTGTATGTCTATAGTGGATCGAAAATTTATTTGTCCCTCGCTATAGTATCATATTCTTTCGTTTCCCACTTGGAAATCATACACACTAGAGAGTCGCCATTTCCATCATCGCGCAGAGCGCATTGTCTTGTCCATATGTAGATATCATTAGCATTTAATTCCGTTTTGTCTTTGTTTTATACGAAAAATACTGAAAATATGTCGTTTTCTTTAGTGGAAAATTATTCACTTACTTTCGAAAAAAATTCATTTCGAATCAAAATTGATATCAACGAAAGATTTTTATTTGTTTTATGAGTCTGCCTTGAAATGAATATGCTGGAGTGAAAAAATCCGGTTGGATGAACACGTAGATTTATAATCATAAGTTCGAGCACCTAAATTAGCATACTCTTTACATGCTTGAACGAAAGTTATTTGTGGTAAGCTGGTTGGGTTAATTAACCGTAGTCAGAAAACTTACATGCTTTTAGATTTAATAAAACTTCACTACTATACCTTGTTGAATAACACCAGCTGTAGTAAAAATAAAGTAAATATTATTCTAGGAAAAGCATATAAACAAAATACTGGATCTTATTCTAAGTAGACATTTTACATATAAAATACTCAAGCTGTTTGTAAGAGATCGGGTATTATTCAAACAAACTAAAGTAAGTTGCATCTGCATCTTTTAATAGTAATCGTGTTTTTCCTCTGCCACAATATTTATCTACGATTTCGCCACGAGCAGATACCATGCCAGAGATCAACGAGTTATACAATGAAATTAAGAATCCATCAATAACAGAAACAAAATGAAAATTTACATTTTCCTTCAAAAAAATCTGGTAGCCGATAAATATATGATAAACTGAATCAAGATGTCTACCATTATGCACGGCTTTTTGACCTGTCGTTGTAGAGAAATATCCGTAGAATGAATTATTTGCAAACTTTTAATTCCTAAGAAATTGTATGATTCAGGGCCGAATCCTACAATTTCATAATTGTCTAAATTAGAAAATCCGTTCTAACACACTCGTAAGGAAACAAGATTTTTATGATTATTAGAACTACAGAAATCTAGCTAAGGAAATAAACTTTGGTAACCCACGTCGACGAAATCGCGATTCTTGAAAAATCGCAGATTAATTGCGATTAATTGTTGATTTTAAGAGATTAAATGGTTATTGTCATTCACCATTTTATTTTGCAGTAACATATGTATACAAGAAACACGATTTCGAAGAGAAATACACTTCTATTTAGATCATCATTTTATTTTAGAGTAAAACGGAGGTGTCAAGTCTTCTCGGTGATCCAGCTTTAAGTCAAGCAGCCCAGTGAACAGCTGGTATCTGGGCAATGTTTAAACTCGACTCGTCGAAAAGGCTCCGACTTCAGCTGGTACTAAGACCCTTGCAGTACATGTCATTATACATAATAAACAATGAAAAAACAGAAAAAAATATGTATTTCCTAAGATCGGTTCGAAGTTACTACCAAGAAAAAAATCGTCAATTAATCACGATTAACTGCTAAAGTCGCCAGAAAATCGTGATAAGCTCTATTTTCAGGATCAAGCGTCGCGAATCTTAGAACACTGCATAGTCGAAAGGATTTGGTCTTGATGAGGACACTTACTGAAAAAGAGAATTAAAATTCATACGGGTGCTCGCAGGAGCCCTGTGGGTTGTGTGTGTTAAAATATCCGACGATGTTTCTTACCTTACGCAGGATTTTTATTCTGAACAATTTTATTGGTTTTTTATCTTCAACAATACATTTTTTATCTATATTTACTTCCACGCCGACCCTGTCATAACTTTTATTGCGAGTTACTGTTTCATTTCTTCAAGATAAAATCCTACAGATCCACAGTGTGCATCCAGGCGGACATTTGGCAAAAAATCGAAGGTAAGCTTTTTCAAAATTCGAATAGTGCCCAATATACTTCGATATATGGGCTATCTTTTGGTAAGAAAATTTTGGTTCCAAGTTATGAACTTTCGGAGAAAACGTTAAAAAAATAGATGTGAAATAAGCTCTTACACGAGAATAACAATTTTTATGCACGATAAAGCGAAAGTGAAGTTCTAAAATGTACATATTCGAATTCAGCGCAGGTTCAGCTACACGATCAAAAAACATTTTCATTTGACTATGACCTGCAACGTCGGAAAAAAGCGTTTTCCCAAACTGAACAGTATTTCCGAAACATGACTTCAATGAAGTAACGTTCCGGGAGTTTTCAAACCCAAAATTATATACAAATATTCGTTTCCATGTCCTGCATCTATGATGCATGCGGTTTTGCTTTCACACTTGGAGATAGATTTTCCCAAAATCATTCGATTTTTGTGGCATTTTGCGATTTTCTCAGTACAGAAGCACTTGTATTGCAAACGAAGGGGCTATTTTGAATTAGCGCAAAAAACTACATCGAATGATGTGCAATTAGTAGGTTTTTCTGAGCAAAAACTTGTTGGGCCTAACGAAACGCATAGAGTCACAACTTTGGCTAAGGATTTTGATGTTTGCTATAGAAGCAGTTTGAAAGATTACAAACACTTTTTTATAGGTTTTCAGATATGCTCTTTCCAATGGTGCCCTTTACAAAGTTCCAAAATACTTATATGTGGGTTTTCTAGACACCTGGTCTCTGGAGCACCCAGCTGAAAGTCTCTTTGAACTTTGTAAAACACACCATTGGAAAGAGTATATCTGAAAACCTAGAAAAAAAGCGTTTAGACTTTCGGACTACTTCCACAACAAATGTCCGCCTAGCCTATGGAAAAATGCACACTGTGAGACCTTGTAAGGTCATCGTAGTAAGATATCTGGCGTGCTAGAAATGATAACACGGAGGAAAAAATTACGCAGGGTTAGCAGAGTAAAATATCCTGCAAGAAAATAAAAAAATATCCGAACGCAGTGAAAAATTTTCGGTGGAGTAGCATGTTGCCAAAATCTGCAGGATATAACTGGCATCCACAGAATTTTTGTAAACTCATGCGTTGGCACGCAGAATTTTAAATTTTATTTTTCAGTGACCAATAGAAAAAGGCTTTTAACCGTGAAAACTGGCTCTACCCAGTTTACAATGGAAAATTTTGGAAGATTCATATCTTCGCAAGGAAAGGTCTTGGAGGGCCGAGACTGGTCTTATCTTGTAGATGAAGCTTTCCGTCATACGAGAATATACTTGACCCCAAATCGAAAATTTGATAAAAATCAGGGCCCGTAAATTGTACATCTTTCGCTGAAAGATTTTTTTTATCGCATTTAAAATATGCTTTTCTCATTACCTCACAATATTTTGTAAACTTAATTCATTAGAGACAACATGACATTGTGTCTTTCGAGAGTATGAAAAGATTTTTTGCAATGGCAGGGAAATGCTGAGCATAAAGAGATTTAAGTAAGTATTTAGGAGATGTTCAATTTGAATTGTTTGAAATCCTCTTAGAAATCCTTCAAGGTTGTTTGCTATTTTTTATTTAGCTCATTTGTTTTCATAATGCAGACGATTTTAATACTTTTTCTTTGGTGCATTATTGGTGTCGTTTCACGCTATAGACAATCTTCTGAAGACGTGTATGATCCACTACTATCATCTGACGAAGAACTAACTGAACGGTAAATGATAAAATTCACAACAACAAAAGATCTGAAGTTGTTTCTTGTACATCTTTTTAGATCATTTTCGGACAAAGATATACGTGACTTATTTCTACTACAAGGTATATTAGAATGGATATAAACAGATGTAATCATCCTTTAGCTTGTTGCGCATTCCTTCTTAGATAGTTTAGTAAAACGAGCCAACAGTGGACAAGCAACTTACTACACTGTCGGAGGTGGTTATACAGCATGCGGATCCAGACATAATGATAATGAAGCTATAGCTGCTTTGAATTCTGCACAATTTGATCCACAAACGCCAGGTGGAAATCCAAACAGAAATACGTTATGCAACAGACGTGTACGGGTTAACGGTCCCAAAGGATCGGTTGAAGTCAGCATTGTTGATCGATGTCCAGGATGCGGTTGGGGAAGTTTGGATTTATCACCATCGGCATTTCAAAGGATAGCTGGATCACTAGACGTTGGCAGAGTAAATATTAACTGGGATTGGATTTGAAAATAGACCGACCATTGTAATCTGTCAAGGGGGGGAAAGCACCACTTCACTTCTACTTCACTTGGAGTGAAGTGGTGAAGAGGCTTTTCCCCCTTGTAATACGTACTATTCAACTATTTATTTTATTTTTATTATAACTAGAGTGGTGTGGGGCGAATCAAGAATAATTTCGCGATCATGCTAGTATTTGTTGAATACCTTTTTTAATCTTAGAGATCTTTTTGCGTGCGTTGGCAGTCATATAGACAAGACTCTCATTGATACACT